TTTCGCCCATTCCTGACCTCAGCACTAGACTGAGATGAGTTATTAGCTTTAAGCCCAGACCGCTTTAACCCCGACGAAACAACCACGATAGCTACTGGGTAGGAGGCTTGGTGGGCCCTAGAACCGGTTACGAGAAAAATTCTTCCCTAACTTTCTTTATAAATTACTTTCTCATACGCGGTATACAGAACATTGTAGTAATACAAAATGAAAGAATGAATAGACAAAATTTAAAACTGTATTCTGACGGAATTCTAAGTCTATAGAACTCCTACTGCACACGGCTGCATGCCTATAATTCGGGACGGAATAGCTCAGCTAGACGACAGAAGTATCAATTCCGGTAGGAGCAGGAATTTGACTCTTCGCCACCAAATTCAGAATCTCTAGGGTCTGCAGAGCATCCTACCCAAATTATATCACAGGGCTTTTTCCTTGCTAGTAAAGCTGCCAGAGCGTGAACTCCAAAATAACCCCCATCTATTGCCGAAGTCCAGAATAGGTGGAGCATTACTACGTAAAATATAAAAAAGTCCTTCCGAATATTAATACATGTGTTCACCTTGTGTCCTCTGTCGTCACAATCCACGATTGTTGTGGATTCGTTGTAATGACGCAACACAGTCCCAGAACCCACGAGCATGCGAACAACAGGACGACGAATCTTGCAGACATGTTCACAGGTAAATGTTGGCCAGGTGACTGAACATGACCTGACTATTGCCACGAACCTTCAACTAACCGTCGATAGATGGACGATCGCTAGTCCCGTTCTCAAGAGTGATTGACCTCTGGCAGCAGAGTTCGCAGATCCAGCGTGGTACTGCAATATCAAGTGTTTTTATTTGTAGGGTGCGGCAGAGGAAACGCATGTTTTTCGAATGGCTAGTACTCGGTAAAGAGGAGGGTAGGGGATTTCAGCCCCTTGCTAGTAGACAGCTTAGATAATGCAGTTTCAGTCGCCTTGGCACCGTGGACCCGCGAGCATCGGGTGTTTGTCGTTGAAAATTATATCAAAAGTTGTGAATCAGTGATTGCCGTTTAGCTCCTTTTCCGTAACAGTTCATCCCTGATCGTAAGACGATACTCAGGTGGGTTGATGCGCTTAGGACAACAGGGTCTGTGATGAAGTGGAAACCACCTGGCCTTCCCGCGTCTGTGCGTACCCCTGAAAACGTTGAGAGAGTGAGATTGGCAGTTCTAAGAAGCCCGAGGCGCGCTATGTCGAAATGATCAACAATTTCCTGCTTCCAGAACTGCGCAAATGTGGTACCAACAGGATGGTGCCACAGCACACACGGCGAGAGCATCGATGCAGGTGGTTCGTGGCATGTTTCGCCAACAAGTAATCTCCCGTTTCGGTGATATCCCTTGGCCGCCTCGCTCCCCTGACCTGTCCGTATGTTGACTATTTTTTATGGGGTTACCTCAAATCCGGTCTACAGAAACAAACCAAGTAACATCCAGGAACTGAAAGATTCCATTCGTCAGGAAATCGCTACTGTGGGTAAGAGCAATGCAGAATTTCGAGGAGACGCTGCAAGAGTGCGTACAGACGGAAGGGCGTCACTTGACGGACGTTATTTTTCGGAAGTAATTCAAAAATTTTAAACAAAAACTGCATTGTAAAACCTTTATTTCTGTGTAATTAAAATTTTTTAACTTGAAAATCAACTGAGTTGTTATTTGAAAAACATGCGTGTCCTCTGCCGCACCCTATATATTAACTTTCCAACTAACAAACCGAATAATTAGCAATTACAAAGTTGACCAAGACCCGCTCGCACAATGATTGTGATCTAATTTTTACGCAAGTATAAAATGCAAAATACAGAAGCCGGGGTTAGACATAAGAAGCGGATGTCGAGGGACAAATAACAGCGTGACATCGTTAGACGTACCAGACTTGAATATAAGCGCCCAGAAACGTACATAGATAAAGTAGCTGTGTCTATGATTCAGTGTCAGCACACAAAACTCATCGTTCATACTCTAGCAAGTCGTTCTGGCTTCAGTGATAACGAGAACAGTACGAAATCAACAAACGTTACTCTAACCAAAAATTGCATAAAATCAGTCACGTAACACAGAATTTAGTAAGACTTTACCGTCTTGGAGACGACTTTGTTAAAAGCCGCGTTCGAAAACAAGGTGCAAAAATGTCCGTATTAGTTTCTCCATGTCTGTCTCTCCTTCTGTCCGAAGAAACAACTGGAAAACTGCTAACCGGTTTTTAATGAAATTTCCCATTGGAGAGTTTTACTAAAATGTCGACACACGTGAACTTTGGTTGAAATCGTACAACACTAATGGTCATTTTAATGAAGACCTACGTGGATTTCTGTGCGTGAAAGTGACGGGTTGGGGGATTCCCGCGTGGGAATCCGCATTCGGGGAATTCCCAGCCAACAGCGTAACCACACGGGAAATCTTTGTAGACATCGCCCAGCTATACCCACACTCATATACACTACCCACTTTGATCACAGAAAATTCAAGTCACGGGTGGCATTCACAAAGACCAAGTGTCAAATTCGGAATTGTTAAATTGTGCGTACATTAATTTGTTGAGAATTCCTGCATTTTGCCACACCCTTCTGGAAGTGGAACAGAACTCCAGTCGATGAACCTAACATGTAGACAGTTGCTCCTTATAGCTACTTCCAATGAATATTTTACTGTCAGTACTACAGTAGATGAAGAAGGAACGAGATGGTCATGAAAAATTTCAGGGTATTACCCTCCTGGTATTCACCTGGAGATACTAACAGACCCATGAAATTAGTTCATTAGGGTAGCTGGCTATAAAATGAGATAAAAACCTGGTACTTTCCAAAAACACACTGCAATACACAATCCTCTACAATACTTGAGACACACACAAATTTTTTATCTTTCGTTTTAATAAATCATATACTTTAGGTTCAAATTCATTTAGGGATTCAGCATTACAGCAATAAACTTCATGAACTAAGAAAATGGGATTCTGTAGGTCTATGATTCGAAATCTGTGATATATACAATCTACAAGCATAATAAAGATCGCATCTCTTTTTACAGTGATTACAAAATTTCCATTGCTTCCAGATATCGGTACATAACTTAACCCTTTGGAACATGAAACTCTGACTTCCTTCTTAATTTATAGCCGATAGATAATTTGGAAAGACAAGATATTTGGTGACATCCACAGCAAGTATGTAATCTTGAGTAATTTAGGCTGAAATAATGAGGTTGGACTGTAACCATACAGTAGCAACTTGGACAGTGGTAATCATCTCAGTATAAATAATCTGATAAAATTTGAAGAAAATTTTCAGACTACAATCTGATGTAGTCTCAATATCCTTCAAAGATCAAATGTTGTCATGCAAGTTAAAATGTCTAAAGTGAGGACTACCATACACTCACACTCATGAATATGGTCTTTATTTCCACAAGGTGACTGGAACTGCATTATAACCTCAGAAGAAATGCCGTAACATTTTCAAATGGGACATTCATAAGCTTGTTTCTGAGAAAAAAACCATGAATTAAAAATAGATCATTCATAAAATGTGCACTCTTTAATGTACCGTTCACACGTTCATTTACACAACAATGTAAGTTTCAACACAAAAGCATACAGAGCACTTGAAGACAAATCATGGGCTGAGGCTATTTCCTGATTCCCTTCCTCATACATCTGAAACAAATCTGGAATGATTCCGTAGAGTGGCCACCAGTGTTCAGTAGACCTTAAAAAAGACTGATATTTCACTTCATGTATATAGAAAGTGACCTTAAAGTTTCAATATAAGTCAATTAAGGAGTTTTATTGTATTTGCACCTTACATTCATTTCACACAGCTACGCACTCACAAGGGAACCTGTTCAATTGTTACCTTCTGATTGAGCCCCCATTTTGCAGTATGGTAGTGGAATCTCCACAAACTTCTTGCCTAAAACATTAGGTGTAAACACTTCATAGTTTCTTTGAAATACAAAATTAATTTTCCACTTTCTTCACTGTTACTTCATAATTCCAGTAAAAGGATTATTTCTTCAGTGCACCATTGTAGCTCAGTTAGTAGCATGAATGCCTATGGTATGGGTGACCCATTTTCTGCTCCCATGTAGGCTTTACATAAGGACCAGGTTTGTAATCGGTGTGAAGCCATAGAGTGTAATTTCTTTTTACAGTTTTCACATTTATTTATATTATTTTTCCCTTCATTCACATTTCAGAATGAGAGAAGTGCAGTTGGTTTCTTTGCTTCTTCTGGTTTGTCTTCATCAAACACAGATGATGCTTGGCAATTTGAAGTTTAGGATTTGCCTTTCATTGTAATTAAATTTATGTTATGATCCACACTTTGTCAAGACCAACAGGCAACTAAATGTGTCTTTACTGTTTCCTGTGCTCCTAACAGGTCAAATTTTCCATTCTTGCAAACACAAATTTTATAGGGGCACTCTGTCACCACAGAAGAATAAATTGAACACATAAGCGCTTTGTGTAAGAATGTAAAATCTGGTGATCAGATTGACAATGAGACATTCTGAAAAGGTAGTGCATATTAATAACGCACTTTCAGTCATAACACACTGAGAAATTAACTAAACTCCTCACTTTCAAATGTGAATAAACGAAGAAAGAAAATAAATAGAAAGACAAAAATTAGATGAAATTTTATGGCATTCAAAACAATTACAGATCTGGTAATTAAAAAAAGAAACAACATACTTGGAAACTGAACCCAGGTTGCCTACACCACAACATGCAATCTACCAAATGAACTACGATAACAAACTAAAGACTTATTCTACTGGACTCAAACAGAAACAGTAACAAAAGTGGAAAATAAAATTGTGTATTACAAAAAACAACTGAGCAGCTACTAATTATATTTTGGCCAAGAAGTCAGAGCACGGTCCACTACCACACTACAACACCAGAGCTGAATCAAAGGGTAACAATCGACTGGCTCCCCATCAGTTACTTCAAACTCTGTACCCTTTAGCATCAAAATAAAATGGGGGCATTCAAAGAATATACATTTAATTAAGTTTACATCTATTCTTATATGATCAAATTCTGCTGCTTTTTGCACATAAGAAATATTAGAATATTTCTCTAAAACCTAATGACCACGAAGGAGCAGCATAAAATTATACAGGAATACAAAAACTTAAGCATAAGTAATATTTGCAACATTTAAATTACAGTAAAGTGTTTCAGTGGCATGGAACAAAAACATCTTATATGAGTGAAATCTCCACTGTACAACTCTGTGTTTGATGGTGCATCACCATTATGTTATCATCTTTTCTTAGTTCATGAGTAATTTTAAATGTGTTACAAGTTTTGGTGAAAGATGGTCCTTAAATGAACATATTCAGTGTTTTCTTACATAAAAGAAATGTTACTTTAAATTACCATTAACATACTCATATATAACAGAATATCACAATGTAACCACCTTGTTTTGGTTTGTAGGTAGTTTAGATTTTGTTACAGCTTTTATAAAAAGATACTTTTTAGTTGAAGTGATTCTGCATTCTTCAACAAAAAAGAATGCAACTTCAAATCAAGTGGACAATGAAAATTTTGCATAGAACAGAGCATCACAATGCAGTCACATTGTTTTTAATTCACAGATAGTTTGAAGTTAGAAGTCTTCTGGGTTGTAGCACCATGTAGTCTGTTATACTTTAACCAATGTTTCAGACGTCCTTGCTGTCTCCACTGCCCTGATAATGGAGGCAGCAAGGACCTCTGAAACAATGGTAAACTCCTACCAGACTACACAGTGCTACAACCCAGAAGATAGCCATCCTAGTTTAAATCATGTTACAAATGTTGGAAAATACTGTTTCTTAGCATGTTTAAACTGACTGCATTATTCAACAAATTAACTACTTTCAATTGATTGACATAAAATATTTCTTTTTACACATATGCACTGATGAAAACATAATGAAGATTATGATGAGTTAAATACAAAACTGGCTTTAAATTTTAACACTGTAATACTCATGAGTTGTATTTCACTTAAGTTAAGCTACTAACAAACTTACCATCATTGTATAGTATTTTACATCACACAAAATAACTTTGGGGTCTTGAAGAACCTGAGATCTCTCCAAACACATCAGTAAGACATAAATATCACTAAAACAGTCCTTCAAATATTTCCACTTGTTGAAAGTCTTGAATCCAGGATCATGACAAAGACGACTATTAAAAATCAATTACACATTATGTTCATAATATATTATTACAAATTAGAATTTTTAGGCCTACATATTATACTAAACATCTTTATGACTGTTACTGCAGGTAATAAGGTTATAAAATTACAATAAGAATTTTATAAAATGTATATTCAAATAAATAATATATTAACATTAGGCAAACACAAATGCTATACAGAGAGCTAATGAAATATTTTTGTATTACCCCAACAATTCTAATAAGTTTGTTTACATTCATTATGGTGGAATCTGAAATTAAACCCATCTGATACACTGAGTCCAGCAGTTAGCAGCCAAGATTAGTATTCAGAGGGTCACACATTCAACTACAGCTGAATCCACAACAAATGTAAATAAAAATATGGTAGATAGAAAACTTAGTATGATGGCAAAAGCCTAAAGATATAGTACATTTAAGTCCCAAAATAATACATACAAAATGCACCACAGGCAATGGATAACAGTCATGATATCAGAATGTCTTATGCGGTGAGTACTATTTCATTAAAATATTTTATGTACTTGATTTAAATTAAATACACAATATATTATACATTTGTCATATGCTTCTCTGAACTCAAGAATATGCAGGAAATATACACTCAACAGTTTTCTTGCATTACATGTACAGAAAATAATAATTCCAGGAACTCCACTCGTTTGAAGACGACTCTACTAGCCCAAAAATTGTGGCATATTTAAATATATAGACAGAATATACTCACAGTAATGACTATTTTATAATATTACATGTCAAAACAAATTCTTACTACCGCTGGCAAATGATAAACACATTTTTTAAAGATGTAATATACCACCAAAATTAATGTTACCTCTAACATATCCATTTGAAGTTTACTTCCCAAAAGGTTGAAGCATATATTCCTAATTGGAAACAGGACTGTATTCTTTCTATGACCTGCAATGCCCAATACCACTGGAGAGGGATAACATATACATGTAAGCATCAAACAGTATGAGAATTTGTTCCCTTCAATTTTTAACTTTATAAATACGGAAGCTTAATTAATGGAAAACACTCAGGCAGCCTACAGTATTTTCACCTACTATTTATTACTGAACAATAAATAATTTTGTTTAAGGATCTCACGTCTCCACTGACAAGCCATGGGCAGTTACAATAACGAAATGTATGAATACTGCTTCATGTTCCTTGTATAATTAATTTAATGCTTACATATAAAGCATTCATGTGTATAGAATTTTTGTAATTAAAAACATAAGAGAACAGCATAATCTAGAAATCGTTTGGCTGAAAATCTATTCCATTACTTGCATCTAAAACTCATCATTCAATATAAAATATGCCCCCACGTTTATCCATGGCCAATTTTTTATTCAGTCAATATTGGTCCCAACAACCTTAGACAATTCACCCACCCAACAAACTGGATATTATGCAAAGACCTGTTTTATATTATAATCAAACTTTTTTTTTAAAATAACAGCCAAATGATTGCTAGAGTTATCCATTTAGCAGATACAGCAGTCCTACAACAACAATGATTCTGACAACTGTGGATTTCCCATTTGGGTTCATCTTTGCCAACCATGTTATTATTCTTATGTATCCACTGTTTTTAATTTGTGTACACATAGGAATAAATAGTGATCTGTCAATATTATTCACCTATCTCAGCCTACTTCTACCAAGTTATCTTTTCCCCTTGGGTTTTATGACAAAAATTTGTTTGTATTTAGGCTCTGATGAGTGTTACGAGCAGCTGCAGTTCCCTTAACCTACAATTTCCCATAGGGCCTTGATCTTGCCAATGGCAGTGTGTTTCAGGAATGTAACCCATGTGGCTGAAACCAAAAAAGCTTTAATACATATATTATTAAAAATACCATTTTAAAATTAAATAAATGCACACATTTGGCAGTTGATGACATAAATACTTATTATATAGGCCCTTCATACTCAACATACTGTTCACATAAAACATATGTGAAATATTTCGCCACAGTTATTTCTGTTTATGTAGAATAAGTTTCAGCAACCATTGTGCATACAAAATGTTATACCAATTTTATAACTCCATAATAATACATATTACATTACTGTCATAAAAAAATCCTTAATCCAACTTAAGTATTTCAGCAAATTTTAGGTGTCCATATAGGTAAGCCCAAAATCTAATTACTCGTTAACAGATTTCTATGACATAAAGCTATAAAAGAACTTAAAAAAATATTTCAAATTTTATTTGCATACCATAAAGTGAACTTTTTGATATTAAACTGTGAAGAGTTATCAGGCTAAAATAATTCTTCCCAATAGAAATGACAAAGCCAAGTAAAGTAGATTAAATTTCTGCTTAGCAACCACAATATTTCATTGAACATCAAAGGGTTTCAGACAACATTTATGAAGATATGAACTCAATGACATAATGAGCTGGCCTGATGGATTATGGATCCAAAACACTTATAGGGAATTAATTTAAATATTTGAAAATTCCTGTAAATTATCAGAAATTTTCTGTACAAATGATCATCTGTTATCCGATAAGTAAAATACTAAGAATTCCATTTTCTGGCATTTTACAGATATTAAAGTAGCATACAACAGATTTTAACTTATACCAAATTATTAATTTCTGCATATAAACTATTTGAAGCCACTTAACACAACCTACAAATTAAATTTTCTGGTACAAATTTAGTGTCCACACCAATGTTTTTTAATGTTATACAGTAAAAAAGTTATCAATGTGTTCTTTTATACCAACACAAATGCAACTCCTTCAAAGAGTGTGGGGAGGAAAGTAGATCTATTATGTTGCCACAACTATTAAGTTAGGTTATGTTATTTTTATTTATTTAACTTCCTTGACTTTGCTTTAGTTTCTGTAAGTTAACAACAATGCTTCTCTGGAGCAGGGAAAAGAATGGAGGGACCCAATGCAATATCTGCATTAAAACAGTCAAACAACATCTTTCTAGTGAAGTGGAGAACCATTATTTAAAGAAATGTTGCAGCTTCAACCAAATAACTACTAGACCAGATCCTGTTAAACGGAGCAGTCCAAGCACAGCAAACTGGATAAAAAATAAAAATTTGAATGAAAACTGAAATAACAATAAACAATCTAAAACATCTGTATCAAATTTAGGGATGAAGAAAACAGAGAATTTTTCACTCCAGTAATCTACAAAGAAGCAAAAAGAGCAAATTAAATGCTGCCCATTCTCTGTCCCTTCTAAAAAAGTTCTTACCTTCAAATGGTACAGTCAACTCCTGCCTTGGATACACCAGATAGGTTGCAAACTACATTACTACAAATCCCAACCTGATAAATTATATTCCAACTGTCACATGTCATTCAACCCACAAAATGTATAATGCATAGATGATGCAGATATGGAGGTCTGTTTCTGTGAATGACAAACTGATCTATCCCTGTGTTGGTAATCTGTTTTACCCCATCTTAGCTAAGAATTTAAATGGCTCCCATAATCATATAACCTCTCTGCAGATGTCTCTGATAAGTCTAACATGATTAATGAAAACAAATAATAATGTTGTATATGTTGTGAAGACCCACTATTATGGGGTATCATCCTTGGTATTAACAATTGGCCATAACAACTTTTTATGACAAATCAGACTAAGTTACATTTTCTTCCAAAACCCAAACAAATAGAAAGTAATATTAAGCTTACTTATTTTCAAACATTGATGCCAATTTGATGGTGCCTCTTGTCATGATTTTGGGTTAACTAAGTCTTCAAAACAGATATGTCTACAAATTATAATTTTGGCTCTGAAAAAGAAGGAAATACTACTGCAATGTAAAGGGCAAACCATGGTTGTCCACAGGATGTTAATTTGAAGTTACAAAACAAGTTACTGTTTTAAAGCCACTACCTTTATGGGCACCCATGTTTTTGACTGAAGTCCAATATTCCATCAATGTGAGTTAATATTCCAGCAATAGTGTTGTGCTTCTCACAATACAAGTTCATTTCCCTAAAAATGTTATTACCAGAAAGTATAACAGATATACTTCAATGATTGTTACATCTTCAAATACACTATGTGGAATACAAATTCAACAGATCTCTTTCAAGATTATAGTAATGCACTTACTTTTTTTAAATATACAATAAACCAGTTATTAAGCTTCTGCAACAATACCTGCATTACATACTGAAAAATTATTAGCACCATTTATGATTAGTATTTTCTAAACATCCACTTTACTTTACTTGTTTGCATTATGTTTGTTCATAGCATTATTGCATTGCAGAGACTGTAATCTTTCTTGTTGCATTTGGAGGAGTACAGCTGACCTCCTAGTCTTTGTAGCAGGTACACATTTTCAGTCCAAGAACTGACAGACATAGATTACATAAAATATTCTTCTGACCATATTAGAGAGAGGTTAGGGTGAAAATACAAGCAGCAGAATTTCTTAGTATTCCATAACAATGATTCTCATCCCAAAGAAATTTGAGCCTACTATAAGGAAAATGCAACAAGAGTAAAGCATTTTTGTAATTCCTGAACTTTCCTAGGTCACTAAGAGTCTGTATAAAATTCATCATAAAGTTAGGTATGTAGGCCCTTAGCCTGTTTGTGCTCTTTTCCTCTCTAATTCACATACAACTAGAATAACAAAAACAAGGCCAGATTACAAGTATCTTTTCCAAAGTTCAGAATGTCTCAGTTTAATAAAATAACCAAATAACAAAAGTGGATCTGATGTAATTCAGAATCTAAATACAATCTGTAAATGAATCATTCCACTCACACCAGAAGTATATTTTTTGTTACTTTTTCATTCTTTGTTAGTATATCATTTGACAGTTGTTACTTTTGAGGTCCACATTATCCATATTACATTGTATTGTAGTAATTTCAGTTTAACCTTTATCATATAGGAACAGTATTTCAATTCCAAAATTAAAGGGCTACCAGCTGGAATTTAGTTTCAGGGTTAATAATTTGGTTGTATGCTACTCTGATGCATGGCCACCTCCACTGTATTGATGATAAAGTTTAAATACATGATTGAGAATTAAAATATACTTGTCTATATAGTTGAAATTAATGTTATGGTAACAAGTTAATTCTAAAACCATCTTTTATCACCAACACTACTGAAGTTAATATTTCTGAAGATGGCACAAAAATTTGGAATGTTGCATTAATGTCATACATTAACTTACCTTTGAAAAAATCAATTTTAATTTAAGTAAGTCCAATGTGTACTTTAAGGCCAGATAAAGAACCAACAGATGAAGCAAAGGGACATACTTCCATTCTCAAAAACAGTATCCAGTGTACAACTTTGGCTTTCACAAGACAGCTGCGTTGAATGTTTGGTGTTAACATTCAATGTGGCTCTCACCTAAAAGCAAAAGTTACACACTGAACTCCAGCAGCAAAAATATACTGATAAGAATAATTCTACCCACGTTTCCAGAGCCAATATCATGAAGAATTTGTATGCATAAAAGATGGTTCTTAGGGAAGCACTTAGATGGGATATATTATTTTAAATCATATGTGAGTAAAGAATCATCAGTTCTGTTGGATTTTCTGTCACATAATTAATTTCAGAACCATTTTTAAGAGCTTCCCTGCTGCTGTATTTGCCTTAATTTTTAAAGACAGACTTTTTACAGTTATCATTTAGTCATTCACCAAAAATTCTTTAACATGTATTATAATGGATGGAACAAAATACAAATCAAGTACATAGTATTACAGGAACATAATGCTTCTGGTAAATCATAACACTCTTTAACCCAAATGGCAACATGATATGAAACACTGCATGGTGTATGTCATACTATAGATGGCAGCAAACATTGTTGTTAAGTTCAGCATTATTGCTCCACACTTGGCTGATTCCTGATTTAATTCCTGGTCCAGAGACCAGTGATACTGACATAATTTTTAATGTCTTTCTTCAGCTAATCCAGGCAATGTTGGGAAATTAGCTTAAAATAGGTCATGACCCCTAAAAATTTCATTACTGAAAGCAGCAGTTAACATCAATACAAAGTTTTGATGTTAACAAGGTCAAAGTTGAATCATCCTCAAGACCTCCTTTCTTGATTCAAGTCCTGATTAGTGCTTTTTTCATCCTAATAAATTAATCACCATACCAACAATTACAATATGTAAAATACAGACAAGTAGTATGATTTGGGTTCTAACAGTGATGAAGACTTCAGTGTTGTTCTGGGTTGTGATGCCATGTTGACTTGTAGGAAGACACCAAGATCGAGACAATATATTTCTCTGAAACTCTGGTATCTACCTACAAGTCCACATGGTGTCATAACCCAAAAGAACAGTGACAAGTAGTGTAATGTTTATGGCAACAGAACAGCCTTCAAAAACAAGACTTCCTCATTCAAAGTCAAGTTTGGAGGCAAAGTACCACCCATTGACCTGGGTTGTTTCATATTGGCCATTTGGGTTTATTGTAAATCTAGAATGATAGTTGGCAGGGAAGAACTATCGAAGTACTCATAGAAAACCCTGCCCTACTGCTAGTTTGTCTACCATAAATCTCACATGATCTTCTGTAGGATTAAACTATGAGGGGGCAACCAGAAATCATATATCTTTGTAAAATGGTTAACTGAATCCTTAATACTGACAATACACCAACGTGTGACAAACGATTTTTATATGCATTCCCCATCAAGAGTGAGACATCATATCATAGGATGATGACTTTTTCTATACCCTGCCTACTTAAGTCACTGCTTTCACTGCTATTTCTACATCATAAGTATTAAATCTAGCCTCCTGGATGCTTGCCAATGCTACAAACACACGAAACAATATCTTGGAATTCAATGATTTAAAACAGATGGCAGTATGGAAGCAGCAGTGAAATAATGGCTGAAAGAACAGGACACTGGCTTTGATGGACAGAAGCTACAAAAATTCATCCAGTTTGGGTTATGACTGTATAAAAGTTTGACACAGACTGAAGATTTAGTAAATCACTTCAAGATACATGCTCTGTAAATTTACTTCCTGAGTATTTGTCATATAAGCACACATCCTAATTATAAAATGTTATCAAGAAAAGCATACTAGCATTATAGAAAGACAAGTAGAGTGTTACAGAAAATCAAATGAAAGAAGAGTTATTTGGATGAGTCCTTTTATTTATCTAATTGTATAATCCTTCACATCAAAACAAATGCATATTTAGAGGACTATTAACTCTAAGAGCTGTTCAAAATTGAACTACAAATCTGAATAGGAATTACGAATTCTTTTCACTTACTGCATGAAGGTTCTGAAACTGCTACTGAAGTAATTTAATTTTTGTTTTGTCTTTGTCCACTGGAACTCCTCAATTTATGTTTGTTAAAAATAATATCTTTCCCTTCAATTTTGTTAATAGGAACAGCAATAAAAATTTCAAATATAAATTGCATATATAAATAAGGGACACCTTTATTGTAAATACTGTTGATGATATTTATGGTTTCAACAACTTTTTCAGTCCTAAAAAACTGATAAAAGTTAGTATCATATGATACGTTACCAGAACAATGACCAAGCAGGAATATGAAGTACACATTTTTAAAACTTGTGAACAGTGGAACCCAATATGAACACTTCTCAATCTAAGGTTTTTTCCTCATTTATGGATCAATTTCAGTGATTCTAAATCAATAGTCTTGGTGCTCAATTCCGTCCATTGAACGGTTTTCTCAGTGTTCAAATTCATTAAATGAGAACTTCAATGTAACTGAAATGGAATATGCATTCAACCCATTTAGGAAAATACACAATATCTACACTTCAGCTAACAAAACATTTCCCAGACTAAAGAATTCCTCAGTTTTATGTATTATGTTGTCTTATAAAAGTAATGCTCTTCCTATGATCAATTATTCACTATACCATGTATGGGGGGCTGAATTATTAACCTCAACACCATGTGGAGAAGAACAGTTAGTTTAAGAACCTGCTTGTTGAAGGCCTGGCAAAAAGTCCCCAACAGAAACAATTTGAATGCACTGCTTATACAACAAAATGGTTGCCAAAGCGGTTAAAGAAGATTTAAATCCCAGAAGCAATTAGAATAAGAGGTTTTGATGCACAAACCCCACAGATCATATTAAAAAAGACTGGAGCACCTGTAGAATTCATAGAATAAGTTCACATACTATATCTTTATATTCTAATATATACATATCTTTTTTGGTATTAGTGAAGCATTCATTGTGCATTTACTTACAACTTGGTGTAAAACTATGGAAATGTTTAAGTGATAGCGTGCAGTTTTGTCTCAGGAAGAAAGCAAACTAATTCATGCTGCCTCCTTCAGAGTCAAACACCCTCTGGTCCACAAAATCTGAGAACAAAGAAAAAATTAAATAATACGTATTTCTTTAAAAGGAAAATAAACATTATAATAATAAACTTACAACACCTCTGAACCTGGGTGGAAAATTAAAGCACACACTTTTGATTCATTACTCTAATTATTCATAGTACTATCTGGTCTCAACTGTCATGTAAATAAACCATACTACTTGGTATATAAAGCGAAGCTTTCACAGTGACTGAAGTCGATGAAAGACTCTCGGGCTACAAGCAGCGTCAGGTGGTTGAAAGGTTGAATAAACCGTATCTTCTGCCAACTGATTACCCAGCAGCCCTAAGGATGAGGACAGAGACTGTTCTCGAAACGATGGCAGAAGATATGGTTTATTCACCTTTTAGCCACCTGATGCTGCTTGTAGCCCAAGATTCTTTCATCATACTAGTCGGTATTTATGTTTAGTGAATGATTTCAAGATAGAGTCTGTTGTTTACCTGCATACATTAGAATGACTTCAATGCAATCAAGATAAAAAGTAAAAAAGTAAAGCTGTCCCACTATACACCATGTAGACACTTGGCGGGAGTTGAAGTGGCACATCCTGGCCACACTTTACCCCAGGGATGGCACCCCAGTACCCATTGGATAGGATTTAATGCTGTTACTTTATTTGAAGGCACAAAAATTGTTCATCCTTCATGGAACTGAGTAAGTATACTATTTTGCTGAATAGTTTTTGGATAAAATCCTGACACAAAAATCCAGCATATACAAGATCTTCTGGTCCTGTGATTTGGTATACATCAGCAGTCACATATCCATTAGAATTTTGAAACATATCAGATACACCAGCCTGGAGAATTTGTGGTAGTTAAAAACTTTGTTGAGATGAAACGCTGTATCTACAGATCTGAAGTCATAAGCAACATCCAAGAGACCTATCAACCCCACACCATCAGGGAAACCATCAGAATAACAAAACATTACCATAACTTCAGCCATAAAGACAGACTGACCAAAGCATGGCTTCACTTCTTCCCTTAAGCCTTCTATATAATTGAAATCTTCCCCACTGGAATATTCACAGAATACCAAATGTATAGGTGGATGTTGTTTGAAAAATGTTAGCTTTATCTTATACTTATTTTTCTCCTTCTTCTGAAATGCATGGCCTTCCCCATTGGACAGCACCCATTCCTCAGCCCAATCACATCACTCACCTCCCACCCAACTTCCAGTGCCAGAACTATATAAGGGCTCCCCTTTCCCCATCCATAGATTTTACTATTAAGATGGCAACTGCAGTGTTTGCTGAACCTTTGGAACACTTTCATAAAAGTTGCAATTAGCAAACCTATTTTACCACTTACAATGTAAAAAATCCAACACTGAGTGACACCTGGGAAATTCACATGGCTGTTATTTCTTGGTATTACTAATAGCAGGAGATGTAGAACCATGTGGGGGAGGGAGGAGGGTCCCTTGTACACACTGGTACAAAAGTTGTTAGGAAGGAAGAGATACATGGATATGATAATACTGTAAGCCAATATATTCTTATAACAAAAGGAAAGTAGACTAAGAATAAAAATTACAATTACAATACTTCATAAAGCAGAGGTACTCACAATCTTTAACAGGCTCCAGCTCAGATTGTCATCAACCCTGAAGAAGACAGGTGGCTCAATGAAGAGAAATTTAGTGAACCACTCAACACATCACATCACCATGATGTAGACACTAAAGTTTCCACACTGCCACTTCACTTGACAGCCTAGTTGATGAACACTGTTTAGAGTTAATGTCTTAGCCATGTCTCTTCTTTGTTTTCAACACAATGAGATCATTTCACTGTCTTCCTCACACACACACAGACACGCACACATACATGCATATATATATATATATATATATATATATATATATATATACACATACACATACTCTCATGCCATGTACATTCTAGTATTTGGCTTCATGATCCATTCTGTGAAGAATAGTGTTTTTCCGTTAGTGCATAACTGTGCCTATCTTTCTACAGAAATTCAGGAAAAAATTATTTTCTCACACACAAATTATATTTAACATGTTTTAAATAACAGTTTTTCTTGTGTCAAAATAATGTTTGTAGGCATTCTGTAGGGGTGTGTAATAAAATCTCTAATAACAAACCAAGTTTCCATTTTTCAGGAAAAATAATTAGAAAATTCAAGTCTGCAGAAATATTCTTCCTAGCTTACCAACGAATGATTATGATTATAAAAATGATACGTGCAATGAACGATGTTGTCTTCATAGTAGCTTGTCATCTTTTGCTTCATGTTTATATTTCAATAAAGGCCAATTTCTGGCTACAGCCTCAAATACAGTTTTAATAAGGCCATATGTCATTGAAGATTCTACTTATTCATTTAGTTGCTGGTCATTTAGAATACAGTAATTTCTTTTTCAGTGATCCTTTGTATATACATAAATATATATAAGGTTTCAGAATGTTCACATAAATTTCATAATTACACAGGAGAGAATATTTGACACACCATACCAGTTGTTGCCCCAACACAACGAAAGATAATTAATAATAAAATTATATTAATGGTTACTCCAAAGTAACTGAATTTTCATCAAACAACACAATGACTAGTGATGTTATTCCTTTCCACAGAATAAGTCCAGAATGCATTTCCTGAACATTAAAAATATCTTTAACCCTTCATTGCCAATATGTGAAGATAACTTTTAAGTTACTCATGAATATAAAAATTTATATTTGCCTCCACTCCTGTTAATTTACTGCTTCAACAACCAGGAACCTGAACCATAGTAGGCAAGTTGCATACAGAGAGTCAATGTAATAGGTATCATTTCATGCAATTTCTTACCCTAGATCTAATAAATTCTGGAACTATAAGCGTTAAAACACTTCCTGAGAATCAAATTACTAAGAGTTATAATGAACAAGCTGAAAGGTATTAGTAACATGAGAAAATCTGAGCCACAGGACTGAGAGGAACACAGGTATAACCTAAAATAAATGCCATCTGACCTGAGTGGGATTTTTATCTGGCACTAGTATTTGAATATAACCCAACTGCTTTTAGTCTATGGTTTCTTTGACATCATGAACAAATTATTGCTATAATGACAACAGTGCTGTAACACAGTGCGATAATGCAGGCTGCCTGGATACTGTACACATCACAAGTTTTAAGTATATGGCCTGCGTGCCCTCTCTAATTTTATCTTCAACCTAGAAAGGTAGGTTTGTTTCCACATTCAGAAATGAAAATACATAAGCTACCAGATGAGTATTACACAAAAATAATCCTTTCTGTACAAACTGAATATCTTGACATTACTACAGTTTCAGCAGTTTCACTCACAAACCAAATTTTTTTTTCTCAAGATTTCTTTAAATATAGTTAAACATTAAAATTAAATTATTTGGTTATTCCGTCAAATCACAATGTATTTAAAATAAGATAATTAAAATAATTAAAATATCATTCTGTGTTCCATATCGAATAATCGATTTACAATTGGAACAGTTACAACATGTTTCGGTTTTATTAAACCATCATCAGGTGTAAAATTATATTAAATTTAAAACTCAATTACAATTTTTTACAATTTTTCGTAGTGTAGTTTTTTGGAGGTCGTGTCCAGATATTTTCATATAATGGATCAACTTTATTGTTTGAAGTGATGCTTTTGATGTTTTCATCGGTCAGAGATGAAATAGTAGACAACACAGTTGTGTCTGGAGGTGATCCAGAAGTATTACCGTATCCGATCAAGGTTTATTAGGGGTGAAGGTATTGTATGTAAACGACTAATATTCGAGGTTCCTAGATACTGGTTTTAATCTGTTTTTAGCTGTGTGTGATATAATTTTATCAACATGTCTGGAATGACTTCAAGGTTTAAACATCTTTATAAAAGAAATAATTTGGTGTCTGAGGGTGGTGGAAGGGAAAAACGAGCCAAGAAGAAATTGGAAGAGCGACATGTTTCCACAATTGAACATTTCTGCAAGGAACGCAGTTTGACAGGGACAGCAGTTGACTCACCCAAATTAAGACTTCAGAAATGGAAGGAAGAGAGACTCCAGAAAAAGTTGTTAATTATGGCTTCAAAAAAACCACCTTTTAAGTGTGGCATTGTGCATCATAGCTTGGGATCTCCCTATCACACTGTTATCTCCAAAGTGAGCTGCATTAAGACGCTGCCAAAACTTGCAAGGCTTAGAGAGAAAACTTTCGCAGTGAAGAAAAATCCTTTTCCATCATTCGCTCCATCAGATTTCAAATTCAAAGTTTCTGGTCATAATATATTTCTAGTAGTGTGGAGAAATAATCAAAATGTAATATTATGTTGCAACAAAAGTTTCAGGGGCAAGTGGCCATAATTTGTACAATTATTTTATAGGAGGAACTTTAACGCGATGCTAATTTTATGTCTGGTCACTTCAACCCACAAAAAACTGAAACGAAATAGTGTGATTGTTTGAAACTATTGTTTTTTAAATTTTTCGGATTGTATTTTTATGTTACTGATTAAAAGACTAAGTAAATAAAAAAAACCACTTGATCGGATACGGTAATACTTCTGGATCACCTCCAGACACAATTGTGTTGTCTACTATTTCATCTCTGACCGATGTAAACATCAAAAGCATAAATATTACAGAATGGTATTAAACTTAAAATTTAAAACTTTCATCTGAATAAGTAAAATATTACTCATTTTCATTGCCATCTTACAGAAGGAATGTAAGTAGATTACAACCATGAGAAAACAGAAACATAAAATCTGTATGGGCAGCACCACAGGAAGAAAGAGATTTTTGACAAAATACTCTATTTTAAAGCCACAGTACAAGAGAAGTTCTGGTTACTGTAGAATATCATTTTAACCTTCATCATATGGGGCTGGACTTCAATTTCTGGATAACTGTTAGTGGTAAACAAGTGTGACCCACAGACACAGATAGCTGGACTGTGCAACAGCCATGATGCATTGACAATAAAGGGTAAGGTCTAGGATGCTTTACGTATTATTAGAAAGTTGAGCGACTGTGTGATTTCAATACTCTGGGAAAAAGAAAAAGTTAAAATAATAACAGTAAAACAAATTAGTAGGCCTGACAATTGCAATCAGATAGGCCGCACTACTTTAAATATTGGTCCGCTACAATGCAATCTTCCACTCAACAGTCAAATTGTTGACAGATTTATACTTTGTGCTCTATGATTTTTGTTGCACTACTTAACAATATTCTACATTGAAAGACTAGTTCCAGATGTGATGTCTTCACACACAATTTCATCAGAATACTTCAATATGTTACTGATGATCACTGGTTGAGACAGTCTGATACCAAACAATCCACAATGATAACAAGATTGTGATAAACATAATACCCTGAAATAAAAATCCAATTATTAGTAAACTTCAATACCAGAATCATGACCTCATTTAAGTTTATGAATAAGCAGATAGTAATAGGGAATTGCACCCATGGGTGTTTAATTGAAAATGAGTATTTCATTTATACACAACATCTTTCTATTATCAGATGTTTTGATCTAATATTATTTTGTAGCATTTACAACAGACAAGTATGGTAGGTAGTGGACAGATGTAAATGAGTGCTTACCTACAAAGCAATACAACTTTACAAAACCCTCACTTATTATATCTGCTTATTCAGTTTTAATAAACAGATAAAAGCTGCAAGTATTGTCATTAAATTTGGTATGCATGTTATGTCAATGTTGACTAATGCAAACTCATAATATTTTAACTTTCTACACCCAGTAGGACTGAAGAGACAGATGCCTAAAATTGGGAGATGTAATGATGTATATGCCATAACCCATTTCTCTTCTGTACATCCACATTACAAACCAAATTAACCCTTCCCTAACCTCTTGTCAAGTGATATAGTCTACATATTTCAAAATAAAAGAGGATGACTAAAGGGAAACTAATAAAATTCTGTATGGACTTGTATAAAAGTTAATTTGAATCTGAAAATATAAAGTGTGTGCTGATGTCTACTCTTTTAAAGAAAATTTCAAAATTCTGTGTCCTTCCCAGAAAATTACACAATGATGCAATGTGAATATTGTGGTTACTGTCAAGAGACTGTTTATTGTTCCATATAGTTATAACCTTAGTTACCCGCTGTGGACTAGTGGTTAGCATGCTCGCCACTAGACCCAAAGTTCGCAGGTTCAAACCCAGCTGAGGTTGATGGATTTTTAAGGGTGATAAAAATCTGTAGCACAACTTCCTTTGGAGGGGAAGTAAAGCCGGTGGTCCCATGTCATAAATTTATGGCATGTAAAAGAACCTTACGAGCATGAACGAGATGTTTCATAAGCAACTTCAAGTGGCAATGATCTTTAAGACCCTTAACATGTAAGATGGCTGTTTTAAGTGAACATAAACATGCCCTTTTATTACAGTTAAATTAATGTGTGCATGTGTTCATCTTGACATAGAAACATGTTGATTAGTTAAATCATGATTTATGATTTTGATGGCCAAATTCATTACAGAACAAGTATGCAGACATTAATGTTCAAAGCATCAATCACTTTAGAAAACACCTTTGCCCCAGGCACTATGAATATTAATAACTTAAGAGTACAAATGAATGTACATATTAAATATCCAACTAACCTCAAAGTGGGGTCTCCTTTCTCCATTGGAACCCATTTGCCCGAGACTGCTGCAGACGACTGGCTTGAGTCTGGTTGCCGTGTTTCCTTCCTGCAGCTGCGTCTAGTCCATTTTTCACACCTGCCACTATCCTCAGTGCAGGGTTTGTCACAATTCCATTGCGACGTGGTTTCAACAAGCTTCCACTATAAAGGAAAATACACAGATTACGTAAGAAGAAATTGAAATTGCATTAACGACAGTAAAGAAATTGCTCTAGAAATAATTCTGATTTACATAAAAAGTGTGTTCCTAGCAACACCAATGCAGTGATGTACGTACTGCTGGCATAATAATTCCAGCCATTCCTAATCCTCCTCATATTTGTCTGTATATGGATTTTTCATGCCTTTTGTTAACTACATCTGTTAAACAAAGATACCAATACGTTTGCATTATTTGAAGAAAACATAAATTAATACTAATGATTTTTCCAAGTTCTCCGAAAGCAAAACAGAGGTGGAAGTTATATTTTGGTTGGTTGCACATGTTCCCTCTTAGACCAGTCAACATGGAAGAATTACATGCCAGTTCCACGTAAGCCTTGGGAAGAGTATCAAATTGTAACTGTTATCTTAAAACCATATTTTTTTTATCTTGAAACTTTGCATACTGTGTAGTGTATTAGAACATAAAATAAGCAAACAAACAAACTATTAACACTATAAAAAAAGACACTAGTGCCACTATGGAGATATATTGGTGTCTGTTTAACAGATGTCTGGCATAATTATTATAGTTACTGAAAGGCACAGAAAAGCCACACATGTACTCATACAAGGAGAATACAAATGACTGGAATTGTAATGTCAGTTGTATACTTACATCATTTCCAGTATGGGACTTACAAATTTCAAGCACTTGGTTTTTGTTGTACAGAGTGTTCACTGGAAATCGCTCAATCCCTTGCTGCACATATTGCTCAAAATGACATTTCAAGGAATTCATTTCACTGTTAGTTAACAACTGCACAGCAAAATAACACAAACTGGAAATATACAAATAGAAGGTTACCCATGTAAATTACTAACTTGTAATAAGAGGAAGGGGAAAATACTTACAAGAATTTCTGATATAACTACATTTAAAATGATGCAAAGTTCAAGAGCTTGGGAATTAACCAACAAGCAAGAATATAAAGAAAAAATGCATTAACGCACACTATCATGAAGTTCAAAACCTTTCATCAAACAAACAATACAGACATTTACAAAAAAATAATTTTACCAACCGCTTTATATGGGTGCCAACCTCTCAGTATGAGGTGAAACCATTAACTGAAAACATTTATGAAATGGTTGCTGAGAATAATACGCAGACCTAATACAACAGAGGAATGGAAACAAATACATATAAAGAACTTCTTAGTATGGATTGTTCATTTAATACTTAAAAGTGATTAAATCAACAGGCAAAATTCTGGTTCAGAATAGCTTGAAAAAGACCACTTGGAAGACCTATGGGGTAAAATGAATATTAAAGTTGATCATACAGCTACAGAGTATGAGATATGGACTGGATTAAACAATCTCTGTATACAGCCCAATGGCAGCATTTGTGAACATGGTGATGAACCTTTGGACTCTATAAAAGACTGGAATTTCTTAACCAGGTGTACAACTATTAACTGTTCATCAAGATTTTGTACTACAGTGTTAGGCAGATAGTTAATGTAACAATAAAAATTTAAATGTTATATTAAACACACCTGCCAGCAGAAATTGAGTTTCCAAAGTCATTTGAAGGCTGAGAAGAGAGCATGGATGTTGGACTTCGCCCTACAGCACTCCCAGAATTTCCCAAGATTATGCGCATATGTGTATCTCTTGCAAAATGAGGATCTGCTGCCATTCCTGGGTTCCTAGAAGCACAGAAGAAAGCAAGTCAGATGGTGACAGAAGTAATTAAATATATGCAATTAACAACTTCCTGTCTTTAGAACTTGTGAGTCAAGTCAGAGGTGACGTTTGTCAACCAAGCCAGTGTCACATGGTCAGGTTAATCATACACCTCCCACAATGCCAATGCAAATTAATAGCCAGTGGAAGCAGATTTCATGTCTCAAATTTGTGTGATGTACTAAAATAGGTGGTGGCTCCTAAATGGTAGTGAAAAAAGGGAAGCTGGTATGAAGAATGTGGAAGGAAGTGGTCCAATGTTTGTTAATGTGCTGTAGCTAGTACTTCCTGGAGGAACTGATAAAATTCATGACACTAACAAATAATGGCAGTTGGCACTTGAACCCAGGGTCAAAATTGGGACATAACCCCC